AAGTCACAGCGGTTTTTCGGGTATCGTGTTTCGGGGCTCGTTACGTAATGGCTTTATAACTCCGTCAAATTGATTCTCTCTCCTCGCGCCCACTTTAGCTTTGCTAACTCTCCACCACTGCCGGATCTTCAAAAATAAGTGACGCCCTCGTGTTTATTTCGAATAATTTTTCAGGTCTTAGGATCGTATTCTCAGCCATCTCTTGAACAGCTCCTTCTTTTACAGCCGTGCTAACAAAGGACGCCGTATGAAAATTCACTGGAAAAAAAACACATTGGATCTAGAGTCCAGACTCTTGAAAACATTGACAAGAAAAAATACTCTTGATTCAATCGGATTTTTGCTTAGATCAAAACGAAATCCGCTTAAATTAAGAGGCTTTGGCTCTTGATTTAAGCTAGATTCTGATTGAATCAAGAGGACTTTTTCTCGTCGATGTTTTTAAGAGTCTGGACTCTAGATTCAATGTGTTTTTTTTTCCAGTGTTCGAGAGTTGCCAAAGATTCCTCTTTTAAAACATCTATTTTGAGACAAATAATGGATATCACAACTTGAAATTCTCGAATACTTTCGATGTCATTGGGAAGAAAATTCTTCGGAAAATTAGATGGTAAATTTTCATAAATTCTCCTAAAAGTTTGTATTTCTCAAAAGGAAATTTGGAAATGCGCGAAATTTCATACGGCGTTTTACCTTAGCAGGGCAGTTTAGGAGGCTCCTCATGGTATACATACTGCTGGAGGGTAATTTTAGGAAGCGAGCATTATGAAAAGGACAATTTTTGTGAACCTCTTGCGATAACTTTTGAAATGGATCTCAGGGAGGGATTAAAATAATTTGCCACTGCAAAAAGTACAACGTACGGAAAAAAATCCTCTGATTTAAACAAATATTTAGGTAGGTGCGAGCCTACCTTAGAATTCACACACCTCGCTAAATATGGTGTCTTTCACACGAGTATTTTACATTATTCGTAGCGAGAGGTAAATACCTATTGGTGGTTTTATCCCTTGCAAGGATCCGTTTCCAAAGTTACACAGTTTAAAATTGAGGAGTGAAATTCCAAGCCAGAGTCTACGTAGCGCCCAAAAATCCCGAATGATATGAATACGAATTAAAATTGGCACCATAAAAGCGTATGCTACTCCGCTCCGCTAAAATAGTAAAGTCCGCTTCGTGGTAATGTAAGTTACTCCGTTAGGAGATTATATTTGCATTCATATCACTCTGAGTTATTCGGCACTATATAAACTCCGGCAATGAATTTCACTCCAAATTATTTGTCGATGTATACTCCTGAATTTTATTCAAAGTTAGCAAAAATTGTGCTTTATACGATGCTATCTCCAGGACCTTTTTAAACCTCCATTAATATCGATTATTTTACATGCATTTAAATGGGCGAAATCCAGTGTTGCCAATTTTCAAAAGCTACCACTGAATGCGTTTCAAGTCGAGGGGCTCTTATACTGCCGTGCTAAGGACACAACGCCGTATGAATATTCGAGAGTTGCCAAGTTTCCCTCGATAAAATATGTATTTTTGACAACATTCATGCATATTTTTCCTTGAAATTTTCAAATATTTTACATTGAATTGCGTACAAAATCGTCTGAAAATTTTGAAAAATAATATTCACAATTTTCCCAGTACATTCGGTATTTATCGGCGGATTTGGCAACTCTTTTATGTTCATAAGGCGTTTTTCCTTAGAAAGGCAGCATAACCTCATCGTCCACCGGTTCACTTTTCCTTTTCAACGTCCGAAAAGCTGGACCGAAAAAGCTCGAGCGAAACGATGCACCAGGAACCGGTTTCTTATTAGAGACGCACGCTTGCCGGGGCTAAATGTCAAAGTCTCCTCATAAATTATGCGAAAATAAAGAGGAGATAAGTCAGGTAGCGCATCACTTTCGGTAGCGATCTCCTGTCAGCTCTCGCCCCAAGGGCAAGCTTAAAGTTCAACCTGCCATGCGGGCCGATCTTCAGAGAATGCCATCTCGTGAGAGAAAATTGCCCCCGCGACCGGCTGTTTTCCTTTTCGCCAGAGTCTGACCTTGGTTTTTATTATTCCCGGCAAACTCAGACGGAGTTATGCAATAAGGACGTACCTGCATTTCTTCGTCCTCCCGAGCCTGTGAGAGCTCAACAAGTCTCATGGAGCAAGGTAAAAAGCAGTTATGCCCTTTTGGCATATTTCGTTGAATCGGTGGGTGGTGGCTTTGACTTGCACAACAGATTTTAAAAGCATGGATCAAAGAATACATCGGAAAAAATACGCGTTTTTGTTTTCTTCTGCAGTGACCACACGAATAAAAAGTATTAGCAATCTTCGCTCACTGGTGCATATTGGGCTAATGATGATGATCCATGGATTTCGTTAGGCTGGCATAGTCTCACATCGGTAATCTATGGTAAAAACCGTATGGGCGCCACTTACGTAAAAATTTATCATTGAAGGATACGTAATTAACGCTTCTAAGGCATGGCTGTGCGAATAAATAGTAATACTTTATAGTGATGTTATTGTTTTTTAAAGAGAAGAGAAGGCAAACACTGTGTACACTCCTCCGAGATGTTGTAGGGACCTTAAGTTTGCCCCTGAAATTTTGGATGCCAAATTCGTTGCGATTTACTTTTACATTCTAAACTCTATGTGTTTTATTGTATTCGTAATAAATTGTCCACATTGCAAATGAATCGTAATGAGATTTTCAGAGTTAGTCCTTTAATAATTCTCAAGAAATGCTCAGAAGAGTTAAAAATGTAATTTTTGGCTCAGGTGCTCGCAATTTATCTCTACAACTGAGGGCCGTAGTTTGTCATTCAAAACAAGGCCCATGTCCATCAATATCCAAGTCTGAGATTGAAATTTTCTCTAAATCGTGCTCTTTTGCTGACCTTTGATGCTTGAAAAAGCAAAAAATTGATCACTTGTTCATCAAATCAACCATCATAATCTCCGGAACCACGATTTAATTTTCAAAATTGTGATGGAAGGCACATTTTTGCTGAGCGCATCACAACAGAGCTTCAATTGGAACGCGTTAAGCAGAAAAGAACCAAGCCTCATCAGCTATTGCCAAATTTGATCTATCATTTTAATTTTTTACATGAAAACGGTAGTGCAGATTTTTGCGCAAATTTTAGCGAATTTCGTGCATAGTACGATGCAAATTCCTTACAATTCTCAAAGGAATCCGCACAAAGGTTCTCACACATAAAATTAAATTGTCCAGTTAAATTTGACAATAGCTGATGTGGCTTGCTTCCTTTCTGCTAAACGCGGTCCAATTAAACTATTTTCGCCTAATCCTAGGGCAAGTGCTAGCGGTGTTGAAAAAAATAATCGGACTGCATTAGTGCACCTAACACGATTTCAAAACTATTTTCGTCGGATGACAAGGTTATGGCAGGAGGTCGTTGGTCTCCGCTGAGAACCTTGGTGCGACGGAGGGCGCGGACTAGACTAGTCTTTTATATTTATGGAATTCTCGACATCATTGGGATGATTCAACTGTAGAAATCTTCAAACACGTGTTTGGTGACCTTGACAGTTTTTAAAACCAGGTTTATTGCGAAAGGTAAATCTCGACAAATAAGAAACGAAGATAGAACATTCTGGAACGATCAGAATCGTATTTAGGCATTTGATCACCTTCAGAATTTTGACAGGAATATTCATTTTAACTTTATATTTCTGTCCGTTGATTATGTAAATCAACGAAATTGCCAAAAAGAACCCGGGTTATAGGAGATATTATCATTCGGGTACTTTAAAACAAAAAAGATAATTTTTGACATCTTGTTAGAGTCAATATATAATCAATCGTCAAAAATGAACTTGAGATAAAAGAATTTAGTGCCGACAGCGATTATGATACACGACTACAAGTTGACCCACATCGTCTATTTTTGGAACTTTTCAGCACATTCTGGAGATATGATCCACAGTTACGCCGATTTTGTCATAAATTTGAAGAATCACGTGGGGGAACTGCATTGATTTTTCTTCAACTACCACTACCTCAAGATCTCATGAGTTTCTTGCACTTACACATCCATACATTAAAGCAGCTCCAACAACGCTCTCTGGCGTTCTGCGACACCTAAACGCCACATGTGCCTAACATCCCGAGGTTTATCCGGCAACTGACAACTTGTTGCACTTATACTATTTAAAAAATGATTAAAACAATCGCAAAACCGAAAGAAAATGGATTTTCTGATGAATTTCACAGTCAGACAATACGAGGGTATCAGGATATTCCTTATTATATGTTTCAAATCGTCTTACAATGCAGCAATAAAGTTTCAAAATTTTGCCCAGCACTACTAATCCTTAGTTTTCCTAATCTACCACTACAGCAATAAGTTCATAAGTTTTTGGCACATCATGACCCTTTTAAAATGTAAAGTTCAAACACAACATCGCAAATATCTTTGGTTTGTGATTAATTTTAAAGTCACGCGGTATGAAAACACTATTCCAGAATATTCCTTGATATCATTTTCAAACTAATCGAAGGGTTGGCAACAAGGTTTCAAAATCACGTCCAACACTTTCGAACATTCATTCTCCTAACCCATCACCATCTCAAAAGTCAATGTGATCAAGGGATTTTAAGTCCTTTGGAGAGAAATCGTTCGATCGTAACATCTCCAAGTTTGTGGAATCTAGATTAAGTTTACAATAAACAAACGTCATGAAAGAGCTATGCCAAGATATTCCCTAAAATATTTTTGGAGGAGTCCAGCAATTCGGCAACGAAGTTTTAAAATCACGTCCATCATTATCTAGGCAACGATCACTTGCGTCCTTTCTGCACCGAGATCGCGGCTGATCGCACGTGTCGCCAGCTTCTTGCCCGCGCGTTCAAGTCACCGAAAAGCACCACGGGCGCGGAGGCCGGAAACGGGTTCGAAAACCGGAAACGGGCCGGACCGGAAACGGCGGTGGGTTTGAGGTTAGTTCTAAGAGGAGTCTGTGCGAAACTTACCGACACATGCCAGAGCGGCAGCGAGTAAAGCCAAACACAATACGTAACTGCACTGCATCCTTTCTTTCACTACAGTGGTCGGCTGGCCGGGCTCCCGCGGGCTTTTATATGCGGCCTACATTCGTCGCCGAGGAGAAACCTCGCCGATAGATCGCATGTGCGTCGCCCGCCGACGACGATATCCAAACTGAGGTGATCGCTCTATCATGCTCCATCGAATCCCTCCGCCGCCGGGCCGCGGTGTGGACCACAGAGCACCCGCGACACCCCGCACCTGTAGGGGTCGCTATACTGCCGTGCTAGGGAGAGACGTCGTATGAACATTCGAGTGTTGCCAAATTTATTCCGATCAAATGTTTATTTTTGAGGAAAGTTATAAATATTTTACATTGAAATTTTCAGGGACTTTAGGTGAAATTGCGGACGAAATTATTTGAAAAATTGGAAGGAAAATATTCATAAGTTTACCAGGAAAATCGTGTTTTATCAAAGAAAATTTGGCAACGTCTGAAGGTTCATACGGCGTTCTTCCTTAGCACGGCAGAATACTGCCGTGCTAGGGAAAGACGCGTATGAACATTCGAGTGTTGCCAAATTTCCTCCATAAAAATGTTCATTTTTGAGGAAAGTTATGAATATTTTCCTTTGTAATTTTCAGGACTTTCCGGCGGAAGTGCGAGAAAAATTATCCGAAAAATTGGAAGAAAAATATTCATAAGTTTACCAGGAAATTCAAGTTTTGTCAAAGTAAATTTGGCAACGCCTGAAGGTTCATACGGCGTTCCTCCTTAGCACGGCAGTGTAGGGGTTGCTTTACTGCCGTACTAGGGAGGAACGCCGTATGAGCCTTCAGGCGTTGCCAAGTTTCCTCCGATGAAAAACCGAAAAATTTACTGAGAAAATTGCGAATATTATTTTCCAAAATTTTTAGACAATTTAATTTAAAATATCTGAAGATTTCAAGGAAAAATATGCATAAATGTTGTCAAGAATACATGTTTTTTCAAAGGAAATTTGGTAACGCTCGAATGTTCTTACGGCGTTCTTCCTTACCACGGCAGTACAGGTTTTGCTCATTAAGTACGGACAGGGGAAGAAAAACTGATGCTCTTGGATCAGGAACGTAGTTAGAGAAGGAGGAGGTGTCTTGGGACCCCTCCCACCCCACAAAAGCAAAATAGGGGGAAAAGAAGAAAGAAAAGAAGAGACAAAAAATAAGGAAGGGCAAGGAAGGAGGCGGAAGTATGAGCCCGTTCTAGGTATTAAAAAGAAACGTTCAGGTTGATCGAAAAATTTTACCATAAAGGAATTTTATTTTTCTTTTTTCATGTGAAACAAAGAGTTGGTGATTTTGCCATGCACAATTAATTCATCTGAAATTCTCATTACAGAGAGCAAAAGCTCTTCTGAGCACTGTCGTAAGAAGAGTTGTTCCAACCAGCATTTCTCCAAGAGGAATTTTCGCGCTTAGATAAGTTGAATCCATCTGTGAAGAGAATTTCCCTGGGATTTATCGCTTATGCTGTCTGAACAACGCATGTCGTGTCAAGCCGCAATGAGTTCATGGTGAAAAAAGAGTTCAAATTATGATTGTTGAAAACAGTGCATTTTCCTTTTTTAAGCAGTAAGTTTGTTCTAATTAATGCAATTTCTGCCTGTTGATTACAGCGGCGATTGTTTTTGCCTACGAATAAGTATTAAAGGTAACCTAATACAACTTTGAATTCGGTGTGGAAGAGTAGAGAAAAGTTGTTGCCAGAAGGTTTTTTTCAAAAATTTTCTGGAGAAGGACCCCAAATCTCCTTTTTCTTTGAGGACTTCTCCCTACCAGACCAAGCTTTGCCGAAATGCAAAACAAAATCTTGGCTACGTGCCTGCTTAAGATGTCCATAGGTGATTGCGGGCCCCATGTATAGTCGCAGTTATTATGTTTATTTCGTGGTAATAATTATTTTAGTCCGTCCCGGTAACGATGCTTCATTACTACTGGTGGATCCAGCAAATTGGCAACATTGTCTTTTTCCATTCAATCCTCTGGAAATGTATCGATTCTTTGATGGGCCAGGCCGCCTTCGACAAGAATCGATGATTTAGCATAGGTTTAAATGGAGGAAATCCGGCGTTGCCAAATTGCTGGATCCGCATCTGTATATTCCCGAGGCTAGAAAAATTGCTACTACAAGGTAACATTGATAACTACAAATAGAAAGGTAGTCTGGACAAATTTTAGTTTCGTTAGAGCTACGATTTTATTCCGGATGTACAACTTTCGCATTCGTGTTCTCCGGTAGGTTTGTTGCCTATGCGGAAGAATTGAAGGTAAACTTCTAAAGAAATCCATCTCCCAGTGGGTTCACACTTTGGTTGAGATCGGGCACACTTCATTTGTTTGTGTGATGATTTTGCATACTTGAATTTTGAAGGGAAAATATACTGTCTAAAATAATTATCATAAAAATACCTGATGATTATTTCTTTCAACAAATATATTCATTGTGCGGTGTTAAAACTCTGCTTTGAAGGAATAGGTGTCTAAGGCGATTGTTAGACCACCACCAGGTTCGTGTTCAAAGTAATCGGTTCGGATCGTTGGGAGTGCTAATTAGAACTTCCCCTCAGCAACTGCTCAAATATTTTGGATAATCTCTGCCGCATTCCGTTGGTCAGTGAGTTCTTGGATAGTTTCATTTTACCGCTTCGATGATGATTCTTCACGGAAACTTCACACCAGATGGATTCGTCGGTTTCAACATCATCTCCATCGCACAAGATTGAAGTAGTTGCAACGCCCCCCCCCCAGCTTTCCCCGGAGATTTTTCGAGAGCCAGAAAGCTCACGATTGAATTTACTTGCGTGTAGACTCAAAACTCGTACCATCATTTTTTATACCTCTCAATAGAGGATGAGCAACTTTTATTTCAGTAACATTATCTGCATTAAAACAAGTTGGATAATTGCGTAAATTAATAGTGATATGATGAGGAATATAGATTTGCATTGTTGCAAATTCTCGCCCACAACTCTGTGTTAATGTTGATGTTGACTGCCTCTCTGTCCTCTCGAGCAAAAAGCTGCGATATTCACTCGCACAAACTTTAAAATGGATTGAATCTTTCTGACAACGCAACAATGATGATAAATGTGAATGCAATTATTTGTGCACGACAGTAGACTATGTTGCATATTCAGAAATCTGAAGGTGTTTTAACTTTTTCCATTTTATCGAGGAGCAAAGTGATTAAGCAAAGCCTTGAAATAAATCTGGCATTTCCGCACCCTCTTCAGCTGTCGTAGAAAGTATCAGACTTTTTGTCCAGTTTTTGTGTGCTATCAATATTTATCCTCATGACAGCAGTATTTGACCTTAAAAACCTCAGATCGATGTAAAGAGAAGGGTCGGATCCTAAGATATAGCTTTTGGGCTGGAGGAGGTAAAACTGTAAAATGAAAAATAACAAATCAATTATTCACGATAGGTATATACAGCTGAAAGTTGGGAGACACTTCGACTGAATACAATAAGTGTCGCACGTGATAGAGGACATGATGAGAGGAGGGTATGTTCTGGTAGCTAGGCAGCCATTGCCGGTGAAGTAACTGTCAATGATAACACACATATAGTGTAAATGTTATATACCAAGTGTTATATTACGAGAGCTGAATTATCTTCTGCTAAAATTCAGAGATCAGGTAAATACTTTTTTAACGGAAAGTTTAAAAATTACCCCTCCTCTCCTCTCTGTTTCAAAAAGATAGGTAAAATGTCTCGAAAAAAATTAGGAGGAAAACATTTCGACAACTATAAAAGATTTATACCAATTTTGGCCTTACTCGCAATAACGTCATCAACACAAACAAAGAGTCTGAACACCCAAAATATTTCTTTTGCCAAAGAGATTGAGACTAATTTTTTAACTAAAGTATCCATTCTGTTGAGAACATGTTCACAGTCTAGATATCTATACGTAATAATTGCAAATTCAGACTTTGACTCTACCAATCTACTCAGCGAATTACACATCAATTCAATCCCCACTATTCAGATAAATAGCCTGCAAACCCTTTCCACGAAGAACGAGCAAAAAAGCATTGTGTTTGTGTTGACAGATTTTAGCGATATTTTAAATTTGATTTTGGGCACTCAAAATTACAGTAGGGCACCTTTTAACGATTCAAAAGGTTTCGTCAGTCGGTCTCATGGAAGTATCACGTCAAAAGATGTGCGTTCTGAAGTAAGTTACAACTATTGCGTTCATTACATAGAAAGTGGATTGAACATTACATTCAGGGGCTCAAACAAGCCATGTGATGAACAGTTGACAATTTTTGTAGACGATTTGGAGGATGACTCATTTTTACCGGATGAAGTGTTCGACCACTCCCGAGGCCTGTATTTACACAATATTTGGAATGCGATGAACTACCTCGTATTTTTCCTTCCCATGTCACAATGTCACATGAGCGTCGTTTCTACGCTTTGTCAGAGAGACCAAATCGATGGCTCCAGGCCATTTGACGAGGAAAAATATTTAGATTTCGTTTTCAGATTCATATGGCGCACATTCAAAAGTATGAGAACATTGATTTGTCTAGGGCACGTATGCTACAGGTACGAAGCTTTCTTTGAAAAAATCCAGAGCTTTGCAGGGGAATCTGGGGAGGAATTTTTCAACTTTTCATGGTATTCAATGAACGGCAAGTCTGTTGGTTTCTACAGCTTGACAGCTGGGGACGGCCATCCTTTCAATACAGCAGGTGATCTTTGCACACAGATAGGACTGTTATATGATGTGATAGAGATGATGACTTGGCGCAGAAACGGCTCATTTCGAGAAATTGACCTCCGATTTGATGTATCTGCAGATTTGCAGAATTCAAGAAATTTCGAACTAGGCTTGAAGTACGGAGTGGCGGTTCTTGGAGTTGAAGTCGCCGGAATTTTCGCCTCGCTTAAAGACGGCTTCGAAGTCTCACCCGCCATCGAGACCTGCCAGCTTTCGATGCTGGTTCCTCGAAAGGGATTCGTGCCCCAGTATTTTGCTATTTTCTATTGTTTCTCACCGACCGTTTGGATTTTCGTATGGGTTACATTCACGTTCCTTATAACCGTCCACCGTGCATTTGTTTTCATCCAGCAAAAGTATTTCCTACACGTGAACACAAACGAAGACAACAACGATGCCACTCCAACAGTCATGACAATCTACAGGTACATATTGGGTATCAGTCAACCTCGACTAGTTCTCATCGAATTATTTACTGGGAAGATCATATTCTTCAATATAGTGTTCCCAACGATGGTATTAACGACGCTTTTCCTAAGCGGAATGGTTACCCTTCTCAATGAGAGGATCCGTTACCACGACATGAACACTCTCGATGAAATAAAACAAGCGGATTTACTGGTGCAATCATCAGACTTGTTCGATGATTTGATGCTGCTTGCCGATCAACCATTCGACTGGATTGAACAGAAACTGTCCGACACTTTCCTTTTCAGATGTGCGCGTCTGGATTGCATTTTCGAAAACGATGTTGAAAAGTTCATGAGAAACATATCTTTGAATGACGAGGACGATGAAACGAAATTGGCCAGAGGTGAGGTCGACGCCATTTTAAAATCGGACGCTTTCCTGGCTCGAACTCCTACCCAGTTGTCCAAGTACAATAATGAGCTTTTTTTCGATGAGTCTACCGGCCGTGTGTATGAATTTCACCGTGTCGAAGAGTATATTTATAGCTACCCAAAAGTCCTGTTGATGCTGCGCAATACTTTTTACCGGGAGGAAATCAATGATGGTATAATGCGTTATGTCGAGAGTGGTATATTGGGATCCATGACCGAGTCAACCCGACATAGAGTCCTACAGAACTTTCTGCACTCCCAGGAAGAGGAGATTGGAGGAAAGCCGAAGCCCTTTTCCATGACGGATTTGAAGATAGCGTTTATCTGCCTCGTCATCGGTTTGCTGTTAAGCTGTAGCGTTTTTATCGGAGAACTGTTTAGTGTAATATGAATTGCGAGGATGCTACCCTGTATTGTAGCATTCGTCGATGCTGAAAAAAGTTAGGTTGTGTTAGTTAGTGCAGCCAAGTTGGTGGCCACTCTTGAAATAGAAACATCATTGGCGAGGCCTGGATGATTGACTATCGATATTCACTCATTTGAGGCTATGGTAAAGAATCGATAATTAAGGTGTTCGTTGCAAACACCCTGTTTATCGATCATTTTCCGTATAGGTTTAGCTGGCAGGTCAATCGATACATCGCAAATAACGCCACGACACAGAAATACATCTGGTAACAAGCATCGGCAAACTTCTCTTTCAATCAGTATTTTTAGTCTTGAAGCTTCAAATTTATCGCGGAGAGTCTTTATTTGGAATGGTGTTATATGTTTCGATTACAGTCGGTGCAATATCCCTCTAATCTGTCTTATAGCCTCCCCCCCATGTCCTTCTTTTGTTCACTCTTTGGGCTTTTTTGCCTAATTTCATCCCTCATTATATGGAAAACTGCTTAAATGTTGCAATAATGAACCACCATTTCTGGTTGATTTAGAGGCAAAAATAAATCTAGATTTATTTTTTTATTTTTTTTATTTTTTTTTTTTATTTTTTATTTTTTATTTTTTGGACTCTATCATTATAATTTTTGGAACTTCTTGGCTTTGATTTCCCGCCAAATGGTGTGGACCCAGCATACCATTTCTGCACCTTGTTACATACAGTATTCGGACCACTTCTTGGTATTTTTTTTCTCATTTAGAGGCAAATATGAACTACATTTTGCAATGAAAGGCTGCGCAATATTGCTGGCTCCTTTAGAGACAATTTATGTGCCATTATCCTCCCTATGCAGATATGTCCTTTAATGCTTGAGGCAGAAATTGTAATTATTTATTTCAAAATGAAGTCCATATGGGCCAGTTTCAGTGTGTTAGATATATCATCATGTGGATTTACCAAAAATAATGGTTCCTTACCGCAAAAGGAAGTCCAATTCATCTGCTATGACATTCGAGATTTAAATTGAAAGTTTAAAACAAAGGTAAATAAATAAAAGAAACCGGAAAACTTTCAATTTATTCTCTAAAGGAGCAGATAATGATGCTCCTTATCACCCTACACAGTAGAGATGTCTCCAATAGCAACGGTACTTCTTTGATAGGAACCATAGTGATAAGCATTAACCGCGCGCTTGCAAGTTTGATTTTAAGTCTCATCATACGGCGCGGCGCGCAGTGGTACGAACCATCGGAAGAAGTTGGACACACTGAAAAAAACAAAAAAAACTCCGGCCGTGGACACCGTACTTACTGACTATTTAGATATACCGTCCGCGTTACGGGCTCAGAGCAATCGGAGCTACGGCTCCAGTACCCGGAAAACTTCCAGCCTCTAAGTCCGGAACGGACGGTATGTCTACATAGCCCGTTACTGTTTTTTAATGCGTGGAATTTTTTCATAAAACTGTGAATTTTGATGTTTATGAAGTTTTATAAAACATTTAAAAGGACATAAATTTTTAGGGGAAGAAAACCATTGAAGCAATTCTTTAACTTCTGCGCCTTATATTGACAAATATGTTAACTTTCAAAGTTTCCACATTTCCGACAGCTCTCATTGGCTCGCTACACTGTGCGGCGCGCGATGCTGCCAATGCTTTGTCTGTCTGTTGAGCAAAGTGTAAAGTGCGTTGCATGATTTATCTGAGAAACACGCTTTTGATGGAGTATTCAAAAATGGAATATTTCAGGTAACACTTTTTTGATGATTAAAATGTCATGTGATAGATCCTTATGACAGTCACATGCCGCACACTTTCTCGCATAATGAAAATCCAGAAAGTTATGAATTGACCAAATGTAAACAAAGTTTACAGACGCATAACTTAGCTTGATTTTATTTGTGGTCGTTACGTGTACTTAGCTCACACGATAGTTTCTTACTTTATCATTAGGCAGCAAGAAGGTCAAAAATTGATAATGAACTGTTATGATTACATGCATGCCAGCATTGATTCGCATATTGTCGTAGTGAGGAGACCGTTGAGTGCTATTCTATGAAACGACGTTCTATACGATGTTTTTCCAGAGTTTTAGCTTTTCCGCCATAGCAGTGTGTTTATTTGTGTTGTTAAGAGCATCAAATGCTTTTAAATATGTTGACTGTGGTAAGTTTTTCATTGCTTTTGAGAACTGAAGGAAGTGAATCCTTCAAGTTTATTTAAGTTTTTTTTTTTTTTTTTTTTTTTTTTTTTTTTTTTTTTTTAGAACGGGACTGTCCAGCTTTTAATTTGCTGGCATTTTTTCCCTTTTATTTGAAGCACATTACTTAAAAATTTATGTTATGATATTATTGATGTTTATTGCTATTACTTTACGATGTTGAATGCGGTTGATGTTGAAGTTCGCCATTACTTTTGAAAATGGAATATGCTTAGGTTTTATTTTTGGCTAGACGTAACTCGATTACACTGTATAAATATGATAAAGAGTACCTACTGGTTTTAAACGAATGTCAATTCTGTATGATAGTTGATATTATGGTGACATTATTTCATTAATCATTGATGTGCACGTGTTCAGTAAAAAAAAAAAAAATTATTAAACAAAATATATGAATAAAAATGAAAAAAATCAATCGCACCACTTTTTCAGTGCCGCTGCACTAATTTCGAGAAACATATTTTCTCTGAAAGTAAAAATGACTATTTTTCTGTGTAGAAAAAGCGTAAGTCGACTTTCGCAGAAATTTATGGACAGAGTTAAGCAGAAAGGAACCAAGCCACACCGGGATCAAACCGAGAAAAAGCGGTTTAAAGTTTGGCTCCTGCATAAGACTCAATGTAAAAGATAAACTTCAAGTTCAATTCCTGCAAAATGTGCTCCAACAAAAACTTTGAATTCTTGGCGACAGATAGCAGAGCAGTGGTTGAGTTCAAAACCACTCATAACTCAATTTTTTCCAAAATGTTGATTGGTTCCTTTCTGCTCAACTCAGTCCATAAAATGATTTAACTTCATTTAACAATTTTTTTTTTTGCAAAATGCTTCATAGCGCCTGATGCGCGTAATCTGTTGCCGATAATTAATTTGTACAAACTCCTGGACAAAAATGTATGATGGCAGAAGTTTCCATTATTTTTCATACAGAAAATATTACCTGAGGTGATATGTTAGAAGAAAATTTATAGCAAATATTCTTGAGAAGGCAAAAATTGAACGATTGTACAAACTTTGACGTAATAGCGGCGAGAGGCTGGTTGAATCCCAAGAATTTTCCAAAATCCGATATGACATAATGATTTTTTTTTATGTACCGAGGTGAATTATGAAAACGGTTAAAAAGGAAGAAATTAAAAACATATTTTTAGTTTTCATCGGTAGCCATCATTTTCTGATAATAGGCCAATAATTTAATCGGCGATTCTTAAAAAGACTTAAGCGCCTGAAATAAAAACACGAGAAAAACGTAGGAAACTTTAAAAATCGATCTATTTTTAATCGTAGATTATAAAATAATGTGATTATTTAGTACAAAGCTCTAGTATTTCAGAGCTCTGAAAAGAAGGAGTCGAATAAAAATATTCTCAAAGCTTTTCTCGTATGATGATTTATTTTGCGATTCAGCCTTTTTTTTTTTTTTTTTTTTTTTTTTTTTTTTTTTTTCTGATCGATTTCAATTTGCGATTTTCTTAACCCATGACTACTACACTGACTGTGAGTTGGTTTTGGCGCCCTTGATAAAACTACAGGAGTTTCATGGATGTGCGTGTTGCGTGTTCAAAATTGAAGGCGCTTTTCTTACCACCAGCAGGACGTAAAAGATGCACCGTGCCTTTAGGGGCGAAAATGTTCATCCTTCAAAATTGCCGCTTCAGAGATTTTAATATTATTATTTCAAGGCGGTGCCGCACTCTGTGAGCTCATCTTGATACCTACCTCGTCTTTAATTCATCCGCCCATCGGTAGAGCGCGGCATGCTATATCGATCGTCCGCGTTAGCTTGATGCGTTTCAGTTTTGGAGACCCCTCATCCATTATTTTCACATTCTTTCATTATAATATTATAATACAGGAAAAGTAGCAATAATACTGCACTAAACACAACCCCTTTTCCCCTAAAAAGTCCTGTATACATAGTGCCGGACTCCTTTCCCATGAGTTTACCTCGAACGAAGTTCATCAGTAAACTCGTGCAAATTGTAAAAATTGAGATCCAGTAGATCCTTCTAATTTGTTTTAGTAATTTTTTCAGACGGTGTTGAGGCAATAGAAATGTCCCATTATGCAGGGTAGAAAACTAAGCGCTACGCAACATTTCTATACTATCGAAATTACGCATAGGTCACGTTGAACGTACCGAACAAGTCCATAATAACGAACCATTTTTGAAAAAAAAAAAAAAAAAAAGCCTCTTACATAAAAGAGAGTGACTATAGGCTCACTCAAATCAATTCGTCGTTTTTCTGGCAGAAGAACGTATCTACACTTCAATTTTGCCAAATTTACACTCTCTCTCTCTCATTGAAATTTTACTGGGAAAATCTTGAAAATTTCTAACTGAAAATTTCACTGATTTTTCTTCTGATCTCATACTAAAATCAGAAAAATTTTGGGTAGTATTTCATAGGTGTGATCCTAGAAAAATTGAACTGTTTGCGTCCATTTTGCAACTTTGGCATGGAGTTGCGTCCTCCCGTGTGGGAAACGAAAAATTACTTATTAACTTAACTTTCCTAAAAGTCATTTTGGTTCCTTTCTACTGAATGCGATCCATTTGCAACCTTGAAATGCAGTCACGATCTTTCGTCTTAGTTAATTTACTTATAGACACTCAGCATGTCATGATACAACTATTTGAATTCTCCAGAATGCGTGAGGTATCACCCCGCATTTGAAGGCGTTTTCAAAACAGCCCAGTTCCGATAACCGGATAATCGTTTTGCATAGTTCATATTATTTTGTTTCATTTCTAACCACTTGTTTATTTATAATCCTCCTATAAAAATTACCCATTTGCTATATATAATTCCAGCTGGAGCGCGCTTCAATTATGCATTCATGACTGCAAATATGTCAACGGAAATCCAAAAGGCCAGCGTGCATGGAGGATATTTCAGTTGTAATCTTCCCTCGCATTTCTAAGGCGCAATGATACAACTATTTGAACTCTCCGGAATGCGTGAGGTATCACGCCGCATTTGAAGGCGTTTTCAAAACAGCCAAGTTCCGATACCTGGATTATCGTTTTGCATAGTGCATATTCTTTTGTTTTATTCCGTACCACTTGCTTATTTTTAATCCTCGTATAAAAACCACCCATTTGCTAAATATAATTCTAGCTGGAGCGCACTTCAGCTATGCATTCACCACTGCAAAAATGTCAAAAGAAATCGACAAGCCCAGCAGCGTGCATGGAGGCTATTTACATTTTAATCTTCCGTCACATTCTTACGGCGCAATGATACAACTATTTGAACATTCCGGAATGCGTGAGGTGTCACGCCGCATTTGAAGGCGTTTTCAAAACAGCCAAGTTCCGATACCCGGAATATCGTTTTGCATAGTTCATATTCTTTTGTTTTTTTTCGTACCACTTGTTTATTTATAATCCTCGAATAAAAATTCCCCATTTGCCACATACAATTCTAGCTGAAGCGCACTTTTGGAAGGAAAGTAGGGTCATTTTCGGCTGCAGCGGCAATAAGTTAGTGGGGTTATCTCCACTTGTTGCCTGAGAAAAAAAATTGTCCCTCCTTTCTGACGGAAAACAATCGGAGCAGTATTACATGCGTTACATGGGCGGAAAGTAGCACTTGTCCGGAATAACCTCGATAATGGGATCAGAATGAAAACGTTATTAGCCATGCAATACATAGTTGGCCATGTAATTTTAGCTGCTGAATCCGAAAATGACCTTAGTTTTCCTCCACCATGCACAGATTTTCCGGGAAATTGATTTTTCTCCGGGAAAGCTCGATTTTTAAAGAAAATCCTGATTTTTCCGGGGAAAATCGACCTAACCTAGCATAACGGAGGTCATTTTCGGACTCAGCGCTAAAAATTATACTGGAACAATCGCATTTTAACCCGCGTTGGCCAGTGTTACTTTAGGTCTCTGGTCACTACCAAAAGAGCGTAGTTCATAAAGAGTGTATTTATATTGCCACGTTAAGGGAGGAGGGTTGGGGGGATGGGGGGCTTAAGGTGGAGGATAGGGTAAATTTTTGGTTATGTATTGCCTATTTATGAATAAATTTAACAATTAGAACTCACCGTGAGACCTAAGAAAATTTGCCAAAATTGATGAACAAATGCTAAAATTAGCCAAATTTTGCAATTTTGAGGGTCCGTCGGGACCTCTAAATGTTGACCAAATGCAAAACTGTTCTACAACGTTTACTATTACTATTATACGTTTACTATTAGGAACGTTTTGACGGGGTCCCTTGTCAATTTCAAAATTCATCATTTTTAATTTCTCGTATAAGCCGCACCCTAATGTTACACGCTTTCATGATAAAACATACATACATATAGGTCGCTTTATAGCACTCCTTCGCGCTCTATACGACACCTAACCTCTACTGCTCTCTGTCGAACCACAACCCTTGGTGCTTTGAGCACCTTAACATTTCTGCTTCAATGTCCTCCCTCCAGCCTCTCAAGATTGAATCAGTGAGAACGAAATCACACCAACCCGAAAAAATGAAAATAATCAAGACACACACAAACCACACAAAACTGAACAGTAAGTGTAGAAGTTAGTCTCAGAAAAATATTTTTGGTGTCGAAATCCAAGTACGTACGGACACTTTAAAGGTCCGAGCTTGAACAGATGCCCTAACTTAAAAGACCTTCATCAAAATTGATTGTCTTTGATGGAAATTGAGCATTTTCGAGTTACCGGGTTGGTGTGTTTTAGTTCTCACTGATTCAATTGAGTTCATAATTAATTTTATAATATTTCTTATGTCAGGTTCAGCGGTGGGGACATTCACAAACGTGTCGATGTCTCTCTGCGAGGACGCGGCGAATCTTCCGTACTGCCCCATGAAACGCGGCACGTCAGGAACCCTGGAAATCGACTTCGAGTCAGGTGAGTGTTCCCCTGTTCCAGCGTGCAGCTCTTCATTACCTTCCGGCAGTTTCGCTCCCAACTCCAAACAAAATGACAAGGATGACGATCGATTATGATGAATGGTTTATTCCGCAGTTTACTCAACCCCGTACCCCGTGCTAAGGAATAACGCCGTATGAACATTCGAGAGTTGCCGAATTTCCTTCGATAAAACGTTCATTTTTTAGGGAAGTTATCAATATTTTCCCTTGAAATTTTCAGGAACTTTAGGCGAGATTGCGAACAAAATTATCTGAAAAATTGGAAGGAAAATATTCAGAAGTTTACCAGGAAATTCTTGTATGATCAAAAGTAATTTGGCAACGCCTGATGGCTCCTACGACGTTCTTGCTTATAGCACGACGTGGTTGTGGAGTGATGAACATTGGCAGCCGTTGCTCGGAGGCGTGGGGTGTGGCAATATTGTCCCATCAGGTGGTGGTGAAAAGGAGCATGCCAAAATATCGAGGGGAAATGAGAATTTGGAGCACATCAATGGTGAATGTATAATAGCATGATTGAAGTCGGAGTATACCTGCCTCCTTCGCAGCGTTTCAAAATTTCGTAATTTGTTTTATAATATTTTATGATAAAATTTGAAGACGGAGCCAGGCATTTCAAGAAGGAGGCGGAAGGGGGTCTGAGTGGCTTCCCTCAGCACATTTTCGAAATTTTAAGAATCAAATATGTAGTTTGAGTCAATTGTGTCATAGATAATTACCTGATCTAAGCCTTTTCTCTTTTTTCCTCCGTTCCTTCTTGTTGCAAATTTTCGCTTGTATTTTGTTTCAATTTATAAGAATAGATGCCGCCAGGTTTTTTAAAAAAAAAATTCCCCTCACTCAACAACCCCGTGCTTTTTTTAATCCGTGGAATGTGGTGAAGTGCCCTTACGAATAGAACGACGATATATGAACGTATTTATGCCAAAAAGACAGTGGTGTGGCGTGTATTGCGATGTATAGATTGATACGTAATTTAAACCTATAGTAAAGAATCGATTATTAAGATGTTTACTGCGAACACCCTGTTTACCGGTCCTTTTCCATAGGTTTAAATGGCAGATCATTTGACTTATCGCAAAGCACGCCACGCCACCGCAAAAGGAACTATGTCTCATGCAAACCCCATGCTTATAGTTCTTTTTAGCATAAATACGTCCATATGAAAATAACATTATTTTATTCAAAAGACACGTGAGAGTGAGATTTTGCCAGATGTGAAAACGTAATGTGCAGAGATAAGGAGAGTTTTCCCATACGATCGACACGGCTCCCATACATTCAAAAAGCGTCGGGTCATTCGCTTTCACGGTCTAAGGATTTCAAACAGTTCTTGTTTCGGAAAGCTTTCACTCAAAGTCGCCTTTGAAAGTCAGTTTTATTCCCGATAAAGATCCCTCAGGCTCAACAAGAGACAGGCGCTCAAAGAACTCGAATTAGTTGAAATCCGAGTAAATACGCTTTAAACTTGTCGTTTCTACGCAAAGTTCATTCAAGGAGATTATCGTAAAATTTCTCCCGAAGATTCCCGTTTCAGTTCGTCCTTCGTTCTCTTCCCTGACTCGGAATTTCACTATGTTTTTATCGCCTCCCTATTCTGCTATGCTAAAGAAGAACGCCGTATGAGTCCTCAGACGTTGCCAAGTTCCCGCCGATAACAACCGAATTTATTGAAAAAATTGTGAATATTGTTTTCCAAACTTTTCAGACAATTTTGTGCGCAATTTAATCTAAAATATCTGAACATTTCAAGGAAAAATATGCATTAATGTTGTCAAAAATACATATTTTATCGAGGGAAATTTGGCAACCCTCAAATGTTTATACGGCGTTCTTCCTTAGTACGGCAGTATTTTACTCGAGAGGCTTCAAAGTATCAGTACAACGCGCTGAAAACAAGAGGGAGGTTTTAGGGTCGTATACATTACACAGAAGGGCTCGTTTCTACCATTAAGTAAAAAACATTATAACATATTTTGAACATTTTAGGGAGGAGAATTGGATTGCATTTTGCAAAAAGGAACCGCTAGCATTGCAGTGTTGCTAAGATTGTGCAACTTCTTTTGTCTTGGAGGAAAAACCTGATTATCCATTAATAGTTTCTATTTTACTCGCTAAAAACTGTGAATTTAAGACAAAAATTACCATATAAATTTCATAGTATTTCACGATTTCCACAATTTTATTGCAAAGGATGAAGTTGCACAATCTTAGCATCATTGCAATCCTAGTGGTTCCTTTTTGCAAAATGCAATCCAATTATATTTTGGTTGGTTTCCTTTTAACGAAAAACAAAATGGAGACATCTATCAAGTTTTGCATAATTAGACTACATTTTGCAATAAGGAACTACAATTTCTGACTCATTTTAGAAATAACATATGTGGCATTAGTTGCCCTATGCAGATACGTGGTTTTTTGTATAAGCCATGCATGATTTGTATTTCTTATATGTATTTGCAAAACGTAGTCCAGTTTGAAAGGGATGACGCGAGTCTGAACTCAGTGGTGCTTTCTGCATATTTGTTACACCCCGTTGACATAATTGCCAATTTTGCGTCACTGTAATTTTCGATAACCTAATTTTTAGATAAGTTTTAAAAGTTTTCGAGTTTTTCGGTTCCTATTTACAGCCCAGTATACTCACACATTGGCTGCTGTTGTTCATGGTGTCATTGGAGGAATCAAATTTCCAGTCCACTTGCCCAACAAAAACGCATGCAACGACTTGGACACAGCGTGTCCGGTAGAAATGTACAAACCTTACACGTATAGAACTACTCTGCCAATACTGCAGTCTTACATCAAGGTAATTGTTTATCTTTCGTTTTTAACGCTCTCCCATGATTTATTTTACAGTTCAAGAACAAAATATAATGTCAAAAGCTAGAAACGCCTAAAAAATAGGGCGCACTTATATTAAGCGTAAATAAAGTATTGTGCATGATTGGCCAATTGTTTGAATAGGAAAAAAAAAATTAGCACTAGCTTTTTAACGACCGCACTTCAAACAATAATGATCGAAGAGCATTTTGTCAAAAATGAGAGGGCTCAGGTACGTAATAGGGCACACTAAGATTAATTTAAATAGGTGTCCTATGATTGATCGATTGTAACAATAGATCGCTTTATCATAACATTGTCAATGAGAGTGAAGTAGCAATTAGCAGAAGGAAATCAACGCGGTTTTAGCCGTTTTGAATAAATGGAGTCGAAAGGTTATACGCTTCTGTATTTTTAAAAATAACTTAAAACAACCAACATTTTGCGTTCCGTCAACTTAAAGTCGTATTTGAAACTTATTAAAAGCGGAATAACTGAATGTATGACTCAAGGTATGAAATGAAAAGTATTCAATGTGGCTGTTTACTACCTATGCTTTTCCGCATCGAACAGAATCGTTTCACGGAGGGGACCATCTTACAGCTGGCGGTATCTTGGTTTCCTTCAATAACGCAACTTTATGCACGGGAACCATAAGAACGTATTTACGCCAAAAGGAACTATGTCTCAAGCAAAGCCTGTGCACATATTTCCTTTTAGCGTAAATTCGTCCATAAAGCTGGATCCCTAAAGTGAATTTCTTTTACGATTATGCGAGGACGTGGTTTAGATCGCGAAAAAGTGCCTTCGATTACCCAGTTATGCTAAACGTCCAACAGGGAAACAAACTTGCACGTATGCCCGCCTTGCCTTGATGATTCATTGGTACACTGGTAAAAAAAACTTCTTGGTTCAAGAGTGCAGTTTCTTGTCACCGGATTTAAGAGTCTGGACTCTTGTTTCAAGCGGATTTTGAATTGAATCAATGCAAAATCCGCTTGAAACAAGAGTTCAAGACTCTTAATTCCGGCGACAAGAAACTGCACTCTTAAGTCAATGCACCGCGGCATTGGTCCAAGAGGTTTTTTTTTAAAAACCAGTGTAGGACAATACGCTTTGATACTAATGTTTATAATTTGTTTCGTTTAAGGTTGGTCTTGAGATTCAGTGGGAGCTCCAGGACGACACGTCAGCCAACGTGGTTTGCATCACATTTCCAGCGCGAATCGTTGACTGAGGACGGCAATGGCAATACAAGAAAGATACACGCTCCACGCGGCGTAAAGGGATCCCACCGTCTGTCGGTTCCACTTGTCGATGGATAGGGAAAAAACTGCGTAATATGAACGCATATAAATCAAAAGCAACTATAACCATTTTAACATGAGCCCTAATCTCTAAAATTAAGCTGATTTAATAATCCGGATGACGTGCTTCATACACACTGGAAAGCTCAATTTCTTCTATTTTAATTTTAGCGTCCAATGAGTTTGTCTGAAATATTTTTATTTCAAACTAGCTGCTTCAGCTCACTTTGCTCGCACCTCCGCACCTAGGCAAGTGATGGAGTTATCGCTATCATTTGGACATCAACAATCTTGTTTGACTCAAAAATCAAGGAAATCGGCCCGGCGACCAGTGGATATAGTCAATAGGAGAGGTCGGACAAAATTTGGAAACTTTAAACGCTTATAACTTTGTTTATGCAAAGCTTTGAGGTTCCGCAAGTGGTTCCATTGGTTTCCTCGTGAAATTTTCCTCTAGAAACACCTCTAAGAATTTGAAATGTGACTAAATAATCATATAAATTTGCAATTTTAGTCAAAAACTTCGTGTTCGACCTCCCTAATTGACTCGATCCTTTGTGCGGCAGTTCCTCGGAATTCAGGATCAAAAGGTTTCAATCCTTACAGTTTTATTTATATAGATTCATTCCTAAACTTTATGACTGTCGAGAGTGATTTTTAGTTAAAATACAATTTTTGTAAGTTTATTGCCCGTTAATGCTCTAAAACAGTTTGATAAGTATCTGTTTATTCCAGTGCTGCATAAGAATATTTGTCTTTTCCGAAATCAACACGACAAAATGTCGCGGAGAGAAAAATACTGAAAACTTGCGCCACGAACTTATATAGAGAATGTAAGTATAGTGCTCGATGTACATTATTGAAAGTAGGTTTAAGGTAAAAAAAGTACAACTATTGAAATCAAAGTTCCAAAATTAAACTCTTTTATAATTTTATAAGAATTGCACCGCTACCATTATTTTTCTAGGAATAGTAAGAGTAAGGGAAAGGAAGTTAAAATATCCTTCCAGATAGTGAAAAACAATAAAATAAACACATTAAGTCTAATGAAAACAGCAATGGAAAAGGCTGATAATACCGAAGGCTAAATAAACAAATAAAAAATGCCTCTGCGGCTATTCTCTGCCAGCTTTTAAAGCTTGTGACCGTGCAGAGGGGTTATGAAAGTGAGTGATTGGAAACAAAAGCAATTTAGAGCCCCCCAGTTCGTCGTTTCCTCACGAAATAACGTAAATCAATTTCAATGTTGCCAAATTTCCTCTCGCAAATTGCAAACAAACCAGGAGAATCTCGGAAATTCCTCATTAAAAATTTCATTGATTTTTCCTCAGATTCAAGGCAAAAATCAGAACAATTTTTGATATGAATTGGACCGGTACATATTATCAAATTACATTCATTGTTTGAGTCAATTTGGCAAGCTTGGAATTGACTTACGCTTCTTTGTTCGGGAGACGACGAGTTGTTGATATTTGAGTCTCCGGAATACGAGTGAAATGCTGCTGTGCTAAGGAAAAACGCCGTATGAGCATTTGAGAGTTGCTAAATTTCCTTCGATACAACGTTTATTTTTTAAAGAAAGTTATCAATATTTCCCCTTGAAATTTTAAGGAACTTTAGGCGAGATTGCGAACAAAATTATCTGAAAAATTGGAAGGAAAATATTCATAAGTTTACCGGTAAATTAGTGTTTTATCAAGGGAAATTTGGCAACGCCTGAAGATTCATACGGCGTTTTTCCTTAGCACGGCAGAATTGAACTCAGGTCGAGGAAAAAGTTGACGCTGTGCACACTGACCGTTGAAGTCGGGAAACTGAATTTGTAGACCTCCCGGGATACACCTCAAAAAGGATTTTAATTTCAACTTGATGAAAAAACTATTTCCAGAGGGTCTCCGTTCCTGCCTCCGACTCTGAGCTTCTCGCGGAAAAACTTTATGATTGAGGGTTGAAAACGACGAGCTTATATGCTAATCCCGACGGGAAGTATTCATCAAAGAGCGCCCCGGTGAGATGCTCCGGATAAATTTTAATTTAAGGCCAGGCCGGGCGAAAATTCAACGTGTAATTATTAGGTGTGTTCTCGCGCAGTCTGTTACACTCCGAACTTTTCCTCATAGGACGAGCCGAGAATTTTTTGACTGCTCCTGTCTGCGTTCTGCGGATTTTTATTTCAATTCGATATCAATGTGCTCTGCAAATTTCTTACTCATTTAAGCACTCAGCCGATAGGTTGCCACCAGAGTTCTTTTATTGTACACGGACCCAAAGTTTAGGTCTTATGGATCTCTGAAGTTTTCGGATTGAGCATATGAACACTTTAGGTCTGGCTGTCGAGGTTCGGATCACACATCTGGAACTCCATTTCTGACATTTGAAATGCTTCAGATGTGAGAACCGAAGCTTTTCGGATAGGATGTGAAAACCGAAGTACTTCAGATGTAAGAACTGAAGTTTCAGATGTGTGATCCGAACCTCGACAGCTAGACCTAAAGTGTTCATATGCTCAATCCAAAAACTTCAGAGATCCATATGACCTAAACTTCGGGTCCCACGCACGAGGTTTTTTTCTCCGTGTAGAGTTCTAGCATACTAGTGGCAATGCGTCCAAATAGCTCACCGGCTAAACAACAAAATGGCGGAGAGGGGCCGAACATATTTAGAATAGATTTATCTATGATACATTCATTTAATGTTCCTGGTGTGATGTCAAAGCACGGAGGATGATAATAATTTTTCTATATTTTATCTTTTTAGCGACAGCGTAGTTTTCTCAGAATTTATAGTTGAAATTTTGGTGAGAGTTCTTTCAAACATCTCAATGGTGCTTATCCTCTTTGGAGAACTTAATTACGCGCATAAAAACAAGGGAGTGCTTCTCTAACACGACCGTATAAGAATTTTACCACTTGTATTTTTCTTCTCGAGCGAGAAAAAATTGTTTTTAATATAAAAAATGCACCTGAATTACGGAAATATTAGTAGTATAATTGAATTGGGATGTGCGAAAACAGCTAATGTCCATTTTTCCGATCTTAAGTTTTTTTTGAGTTCATAATACTTTTACAGAGTTGATACAACCATATAAGTGATGAAGGGACTCGTTTTGGGATCAAAGTAACCCGAAAGTGAGTTTTAACGCCACTCACGGTTTTGCATCCAACTCCGAAAAGTACTATCAACTCAAAACAACTGAAGACTGGAAAAATGGACATTAGCGGTCTTCGCTAGAGTACCTTTAAAGGGAGAGTATGGACATGTCGACAATTTTGAGGTTAGGTGATGGAGCTCTTCGACTCCAAAAGGGTAGGCAATCAATGAATTCAAATTATCCAGAGTGATTTATAATCACAATAATTGTTGGCAACTGTCGTTGGTAAAACACGTATTTGACTGGGTTTTTGCATTAACTTACTCATTTTTGCGGAAGAATACTTACGTATGAATTTTCTTTTCCATTTTCGTTTGACATTAGTGTCTAAAGATTGACAGTGACATTTTTCGTTTTCAAAGGTTACCTACCCTTTCGGGCCCTAAGAGCTACGTAATTCGAGTTGTCCATACTCTCTCTACATAGGTACTCTAATTTTCGTACGCCCCGATTCAATTGGAAAACTGAAAAATTTGAAAAATAAATGATATGACCGAGCGAAAAGACGGCAACAGAGAAGGAAAGTGCAGCATCTGCATTATTTCACACCGTATCGATCCATCGCTCGGAGTTTCAGAACGCCGCGCTCAAATTGTCTTCAATTTACGGGGATCTAAATGCCAAGCGGGTGTTTTACTCGCGATTATTACCCATAAAATAAATACCATCCACATCAGCTCCCGGCGAAATTGCGGCGCTCCATCCACTTCCCGGGGGCCCGAGTAGTTTATATTTGTATAAAGAAAACACCGCGAGAAAACACCTCTCCTGACTCTCTTTCGAGGAGCGCACATCCAGGAGTTTCAACGCCGCTGACTTACTGCCAGTTTTATGACTAAGGTTTTGGTAGCTACTTTTTTGTCCAATCTACTATCTACGCAGGTACCCACACTTCTTAGTCCTTAGTGCATTATTCTGCCGTGCTAAGCAAGAACGCCGTAAATCCATCAAGATTTTCCCTCGTTTTTTGAAACTTGACACTTTATCAAATAATAACTGTTTTATACCCACGCGCACCTCAAATTTTTAGGTTAAGTTTTTGATAGTATTTGCGAAGGGATTCTGTAAACACATTGTTCCAACGGACACCAGTTTTCCTACTTATGATACAGTTTTTCCAAAAAATGTAAAACCCGACAATATTACACAAATAAATGACAATGTTGGAGGACAAGGCGCATAAGTGCAGTTTTTGCTATATCAAGGTATATACGTGTGGGGCCTTATGGCAGTTTCCACTCGTTTTTGATGCTTCATAGTTTGATTTTAGTTGTGAATGTTTCAAAATTATACTTTCAAACTAGTTTCAGTTGAGTTCATGAATATCTCAATTTTATCAAGAACAACACTTACGCGCCTTGTCCTCCAAGCCTCTTAGACGAGATCGGTGGTTTTGAAACCTCGCAAACGCGCTAATCCAACTCCACCATCGATAAGACACAACAATCATTTTAACCGTCGCAAATGTTTGTAGCAGTTCATTGCCTCTTCAAAGACGGGCCCGATTGCCCGGGAAACCGTCCCTTCGTGGCGATTCGCGCAAATAAACCTCCGTAGTCGTTGAAAAGAAGAATGCGATTTTCAATACGAGCCACGAAATTAATGTCATCCTGCGTATTTTGGGGCTCATCGGTGACGAGCGCCCATTGTTCCGACGACCCCGGATTCGAATAGTTGTGCTCCCGGTAACTGATCAAAAGATGGTAATCACGCGTAGCCGTGGAGTTTAGCCCGTCAAATTGAATTTGGCGATGGAGGCTCCGGTCAAACGGGGTCAAAGGCTTAATCGACAGAGCCGACCGCGCTCCACAAACAGAATTGTTGAGTCGAGCTNTGTGCTAATTAGATACTTTTAATGAAATAAGTTTTCCGAATCTATACGGCCCCTTTGATCGAGGATTGGTTAAAAAGTAAAATAAATGAGTGAGCGGATCACGTCGTTTCCGCAATTGACTGTGAAATGGAGACGTCTCCTGCCGTGCTGAGGAAGAACGCCGCATGAACCTTCAGGCTTTGCCGAATATCCGTCGATAAATCACCAATTTTCGGGAAAATTTATGATGATTTTTCCTCCAATTTTTCCGATGATTTTGTTCTCAATTCTACCTAAGGTTCCTGAAAATTTCAAGGAGAAATATTCATGACTTTCTTCAAAAATAACTATTATCTGAGAGGAAATTTGGCATCTCTCGAATGTTCATACGGCGTTTTTCCTTAGTACGGCAGTCTTTGAGAGCGAGTCACCTGCGCGCCGAAAAGTGCGCAACCGCCCAGAAAAGCCGCGTCGCTTTTGATTGAGTCGAAAGAAAAACAGTCGGGACGCCCTCGATACAAAAACACGCGGGGGTTTGATTGAACTGGTTTGATTAGGGATGGATGCCCTGCATGCCAAGGGAGAACGCCTCGTGGACGTTGTCGAATATCACTTGACGGAGTGTTGATTCTGAGAGAAAGTTCGAATGATTTGATTTATTTTTTTTTTTATTATAAGTTTTGGCAATCGTTTCCGTCTTTCGGCTCTGTCAATTAAGCCTCTGATTCCCAAAATTTCCTCCAAAAATATTCAATATTCAATATAAACCGGTAGAAAAATATTATTGAGATAACTAATCATCTTAATCAGAATGTCAACATTAAATAAAATCACCATAACGGCCCCATCTGTGGTATTAAGATAAATTAACTTTCATTAAAGATAGGCGATCTTATCATGATTGATTTAAAAGATGAACACTTACTTTAAGCTTTTTAATGAACTTGAATTTTCTAATCAAACAGAGAATC